TCCCGGGAGCGCTGCGCTGCTTCCCGCCCCACCTCGGCGCGCCCGGGCGCCGCTCGGCGTGGGAGGGGGGTGTGCCTTGGCCCACGGTGGAGATTAAGCTGGAAACGCGAAGATTTGTCTTTTTTCGTAATGAGGGCATCGGGTTACTTTTACTATTTACTTAGGAAAGCACGTGTTCTCCAAAGTGTCTTTGCATTTTCCCTATCGCAATAAATGATGCATGGCGGAGACTGTTGGAAGTGTTTTAAAAACTGGATGTGCCCAGGATGCTTAATAGTGTCAGTTTAAGCGGCATTGGGGTGTTGAAACATTTTTGTGTTGGAAGAAGTTGAAAAATTCTGGCATGAGACAGGTAATGAATTTATGTAGGATTTCAGCATCAGTATTGAAGTAATCAGATTTCAGGGGTTGGCGCAGCCTTGCAAATAAGTGGCCACTTGTCCACGTGCTTGAGGTCTTAACTACTCATTCTGAGCTAGTTCTCCAGGATCAGCTGACTGCTGATTATAATTCATAGTAGACCATGTGGAGCTTGTGTTAATTGATAAGCAGAGATTAGAGCTAACATTTAACGCTGTACTCCTTAGCAAGTTTTCTCTGCTGCTTTGTGGATTCTGTTACAGTTAAACTCACCTGTGTCTGGATGACGACCATTACTTAGTGCTTAACATAGAAGCGTTATTTTTAGTAGTAACACATACTAGCTTATATATATATACATATGTTCCCACATATATAATTTTATTTTTATTTTATTTTTAAAAATTTCATTTATTTATTTATTGGGGGGCAGTTAATTAGGTTTATTATTTATTTTTAGTGGAGGTACTAGGGATTGAACCCAGGACGCTCTTACATGCTAAGCACAGGACTCTTCCACTGAGCCATACCTTCCCCCTAGCATATATAATTTTATAACTATTTACTTTGACTTCAAGGTTGGAAAATTAGGAACAAAAAGAATGATTAGTGTTGAGTACTAATTGTTTGCCAGGCCTATGCCAAATAGTCTGCGTGCTTTATCTCATTTAATCTTCCGGATTACTTTTTGCATGAACACAGGTTGCACAGAGTTTGATTTGAACGTGTCCAAAAGTGGAATGTGTGCATTTCATTCCTTTGTTTCTGGTTTTGTAAAATATGGGTGTCAGCAATATGAAGTGACTCATAGAGTAAATTAATAGCTTTTTTTCAAGTTAGAAGATGGGTTTCCAATTGCATAGAACTGCAGTGAGTCCCTTTATTTGGCTAGTCAATAGTTTGCAAAGTCCTTTGTCTCTTCTTTATCCAAGTTCCCATGACACATCATTGTTACCCAAAGAACAGGCTACGTTTGGATATTGGAAAAAGGTAAATATTGGGAAAGACTTAATGCCCCTTCTGAAAGGCCCCCTGTTTCCATATTAAGTTTCTAAGGGACGTTTCTAATTAAGGGTTAACAGATGACAATAAAACAGAAAGAGTACTTTTCCAGTACCAAACCAAGGAAATAAAAAACTGGGGGTTGGCTGTTACTTTGTTGATGAGTCTAACATTCATGGGTATAAGAACATTAAGCATGTTAGGTAAACTACATTGTACGAGTTCTACATAATTTTTCAGTTTGCCTTTCAACGTCTTAAACATAGTTAAGTCCAGTACTTTGTGCATTAAGAAGTTACGTTTTGGCTGGATTTAACTGAGTGCTTTTGACTTCCTTCATCAAGAAGTGTATTTTGACTGTGTTTCCAGAGATACGCTTTAATGATTTACGGAGGCATAGCAATGATGAGAATGGTGGTGGGGTCTAACAGTTGGCATCTTGTCAGAGTAAAAGTAGATGAAAGGCTGCAGAGGATGAGGGAAATGTGTCTTGTTTGTACTTGGAGCATATTGGGCTCAGTGTGTCTTTGGATTCTAGTGGTCCATCCCTGGAGAGGGAATGACTGGGAATGCTCTGCCAGGCAGTGTTCAAAAAAGGGTTCCTTTACCTAAAGGCACTCTCTCTGGGGAAGGGATGGGTGGAGAGTTGTCACCAATGGAAGAATGTGAGAAGAAAAAGATCATGTGTTTCTTTTGGAGTTAATACGTCCTCCCATCGTGGCACCACATGGCATCTTCGGGCCCTTTCCTGGCAGGTATTTGATGTTCGTGGGAAAAGGGCCGGAGGAGACAGAATGGGGCTTTAATTGTGACTTTCGTGTGGGCGGCATCCATCAGCTGGGAAAACCGTCCCAATAATACTGACTGTGTGTCTGTCGGTCTCTCATGTTATTCGTGTCCAGAAATTTAGAGGCTATCCCTCTGGTGTGCTTTACGGACAGTGGTACATATTTATTTAGATTACAGTACACGAAAAGTTGTGAATTTCTCACGACAGCCATTTTTGGATGTTCACCATTGTCGGAAGCGGGGGTGACCGCAATGCCGGCGTCAGCTCCTGTGTGTAAGTCCTTTAGGCGAAGATGCGTGTCCTTGGATGGGAAGACCAGCCCTTCTTCCTTCCTTTGGAACTCAGCCCTCACATGACAATTTCATCTTTCCTGGCTTTATATTGTTGCGTGAGTGTTGCCTGGGTTTTGTTTCCCCACCCAAAATACAGGCTGCTTGAGGGCAGAGAAGACACAGTGCTATGTCTGAGAACTTCCTTGTTCACCCAGGGTAACAGTATGTACAGAGTTGGTTTCTTTTTACCTATTGAGTGAACACTAGGTGGGGAAACATCAGAAATATTCAAAATGTGGTCCCAGTCCTTGAGTGGGTAGTATTTTAGTTGAGCAAACGTTGTGTACTCACGTGGGACAGTATGAAACGTTGGCGCTAAATGAAGGAAATAATGATTGATCACATTTATGTAGGACTTAAAACGTGCCTGACACTGCCCCCGGTCCTTCTCCGTGTTACTTTATTTGCATGTCACAGCGATCTGTTGAAGTAGGTACAGTTCTAATCCCATTTTTCAAATGAGGAAACTGAGGCCCAGCAAGGCAGTTAAGTGACTTGTCCAAGATCACAATACGAGCCGTAAGCAGGGAGACAGGCTGTGAGCCCGGGCAGCCTGGGTCCTGAGTCACTGTGGGCCCTCCAGGGAGATTTACTTTATCAAAGGCAGACAAGAGGTCTAAAAGCTGACACTTTTCTCAAATTTCCAAGTAGCACACACAACTGCAGTGGCTCTGGGCTGCAGAAAAAGGGCTGGATTTTCCAGGTGGAAGAGGTTGATAATGAAATAGTGGCGGGGACACTGTATTTTGAAATGACTAAAGGCAAGACGAGAGAAGCTGAATTTTGAACCTCAAAGCTAAGTGAGGGATGTGACTCTCCCTAGGAATGGAGTTCTAGGACAGTGACTCACCGGGACGTAGGGCAGTGATTTTAAGTTACTAATCAGTGTCAAATAACTCATGCGAAATAAAGCAGTACTGAATGACACTTGTTACGACTTTAAAAACACTTTTAAACCCCTAGTGGACATAGTTTCCCAGCGAAGGGGAGTGTGACTGAAGGTTTCCTGTGCACGTCTGTCCATTTGCTTTGTCCATCTGTGAAATCTTGATCCACTTTTTCAGCTTGTCTTGGACAATAGAGAACACACATGGGGCTCAGAGGCCTCTTCAAACCAAGCAATGTTCTTTGGTAGGGGGAAAAAAAACCCCAAACCATAAAATCACGCTGTTGATCTGGTGACAGACCTAGAACGAAGTCATTTTGAAGCCATGTGGAATTGGATGAGGGCCTACAGACAAAATCCAGCAAGAGGAAGAGAAATGATATTCTCTGAAGGCCCAGTCTTGTATCCTTCTTGTCGGGAGCTGACAGTTATTCTGGGGGTGTCGGGCATCAGCAGAGTCCACTGAATCCAAATGACTCAGCAGAGAGGGGAGTCCGCACGTCTCCACACCCACTGCCCTGGAATCAGAGGAGGAAGTACCTTGAATGAATCATGGGCCGCAACCCTGGTCTGACGCCGGGGAGACACCCGCTCTGCAGGTACGGTGCGGGGGGCTGCAGGTCACCTCTTGTGGGAGGTCATGACGGGGGCCTTGGGGGTGGGCAGGGCTTTGTGATTCAAGTAAGAAATGGTCCGTGCTGTGGTCATTTTCGCATCAGCTGGTATTTTGGGAGGGCCTGTCATAGAACCAGCTTCCAGCTATGAATATGGTCCCACAGTTGTGTTCTGTTGTAATATCCGAGGAAATACTTTGGAAAACTTGAGCTAAGATAATCCTTCCTGAAGGGTTTATCCAGTTGGCATGTCAGCCTTAATCTTAATTTCGAGGTCTTCTTGGAACGGAGGCTTTTTAGGGAAAGAGGTGATGATACACCAGTTCATCTGCTTTAAGGCGGTCAAGCTGGGAGAATGTAATGCTGTCTCTCCTGCCCCATTTGATGACTCTGAGAACTAGGTCCCGAACCTGAGCCCCTGGGGCGGTTCTTTAAGTATGAGTGCCCATCAGAATGACCCAGGGTTTATTACACAGTAACAGTAGCAGATGCTTTAGCTTAATCCCACAGATTCAGATTTTTCAGAGCAGGAGCTGAGCTGGGCGTCGGTGTTTTAAACCATCCTCAAATGGTCCTAGAACCTCCCTCCTCCGTGAGAAGAACCAGCCCTGGATTTGATAAGAAAATCAGGGCAAAGTCAAATAAATGACGTGCCTACAGCTGATAGGGTGGTATCAAGATTTTATCACCAGATAGAATGTAATTTGAGAATTTTATGGCTGGAAGAAATTTTCCAGGTCATCGGTGCTGTAGCTCACTTTATAGCTGGATATAAAAACCGTGCTTGTTTGTACCATCGCCAAGAAAGATAGGGATGCAGAGAAAAAGTTGTTCTCTCAAAGCCCATCTTCTGTCCTGGCCGTAGTAAAGATCAAAACGTCCATCACCAGACTTTCTTTACAATTTTGACTGATATTTCCCATTAATTTCAGAAACAGTCAATAATTTGCAGTATTTTTGTCGTATGGCCTATAATGCCCTTTAAAACTTTTTTGACTGTGTAGTATATTTAAAGCTGAAGTGACAGATGAACATTTTTGTTTAGATTGCTTATTTTGCAGTCTTAGGATGCAACAGTGTGAAAATTTTCACTGCTTTATTAAGAGTTTTTTTTTGTTTTTAAAATCTGGTTGATTTTTAACTTTTTTTTTTCCCCCAAGGCATCTTACCGTGGAAACAACACAGTTTGACTTCCATGCCATCTTTGAGGATGGGAGAATCCTAGTTTCAGCGTGTCCTCAGTAGAGACCAAAGAACCAGGTTTGTTCTTTCAAGAAGTGTCCCAATGCCTCGGAACAGGAGCCATTTCCAGAAGTAAATAGTAATGTCCGATGCCTGTGAACCGGACTGTTTGGCCAAGTGACTCGTTAAGATGTTCATGGAAGAATGCTTAAAAAAAAAAAAAAACTGAAGAAAAGGCAATTTTCAAGAAGTGACCCCAATGCTATGTAGGATTTTTGAGCAGCTGAAAGAAGATAGTTCTGCAAATCCGAGTGACAGGACTCTAGCGTGTTTCTTTCCGTGTGTCTTACATTATCTTTGTGAACCCATTGCTTTTGTGTGTGGTTTTCAAGTTAGTTTCCTCTACTGCAATAGCTGGTCATCTGCTTATGATCAGAGTTTTACTGTGTGTGGGTGGAGAAGTAGTAGCTAGAGTAGGAGAAATGGGAGCAGTTCACTGGGGCGGCGGCCCCCAGAAATTGACCTTCCCTGGTGAATAACTGAAGCTGGAGGACGTTGAAGAACTGCTTTGCAGTGATGTGCCGCCGCTTGTTCATAATCTTCGCCACTTCAGTTGCCTCTTTCTTTATCTTCCTCTCGGTCTCTGCGTGTGCCCGTTTTTTTTCCCTGCAGTTTTTTGGACTGAAAATCTGATGACCATATTTTTTCAGCCTAAAAATAAGAGTTAGATGAGTTATAGCTTCATGACTAGACTTTTGATATGGTAGCTCTGTTACCCTGGGTGGTTTTGTGGGTTCGAGAGTAGAATAATTTCCATCCTTGTTCAGAGTGGCCCTTTACTACTTTTATGTTCCTGTTTGGTGTTTTGTTTTCTTCTGCTGTCTCTAGATGGAAATGAAGGATGATGGCTATGTTCTGTTCTCAGTTACCTAGGAGCCCAGAAAAACATGGGTCGTAGAGATTTATAGAAAATTTATAGCATCTTTTCACCATTATTGTTTAAACCTTGTGTGAAGCTTCCATGAAACTTCTTTTTAGCAATCTTGATGTAAATATTACTTTCTTACTCTGCTTTTTGTTTTTTAGGGAGGTAGTTAGAAGCAGGGATTTCTCCAAACCCTTATAAACAGAGAGAAAGAGAGAAAGCTTTTGTGATTAACAAATGAAGCAGTTGGGCATTAAGGTCAGTAATGTGAATGTACACGTGGTTGGTGTGAATTAGTTTGTGAGTTAGAGCTAAGATTGTTAACTGGCCTCAGTAAATTTTATTGCTCTTAGCTCTTTCTTTTGCTACTAAGTCAGTTGACCTCATCAATCATTTTCTCCTCTGTAGTGTTCTTATGACTCAAGTTTTTACCCTGTGGAGAGAAAGAGAAACAAAAGAACAGACTTTAAATTTTAATTTAATAAAGTGAAATTCCGGAAACCATTTGCTTTTTAAAATATTCTCTTTTCAGCCCCATAGGCTTTTTTCACTTCATCCTTTCCTCGCCTTTCTACCCTGTTTATCACCTATTTATCTCACTTCCACGCTTTTTTTTCTCATCGGTCCAGAATTTCTTGTTTGGAGTCTTTGCATTTTGCCTACTTCCTGCCTTGTCTGTGACTCAGCCTCCCATTGAAAATTCTATTCTCCTTACCCTCCGTTTCCTTGGGTGTGCCTCCTTCCTCACCCGTCTAGTTCATCTGTGTAACTCACTGATCTGTCATGAGTTTCACCCAGCTCCGATTCCTTCTCAGCTCTGAATCTGTGTTGTTTTCTCCCTGTACCTTTCAGTCTTGTTCACGTGCTCCGTGAGCTCTTTTTCTATTTCCCCTGTCCCCGGGGGGCAGGTATTACTCGATGGATTTATTGTCAGTATTTGCAGAGAACACAGGTCTTTGCTGTGTTTTTCCTGGGTAGCCAGGATAAATCAATTATTATTAACTTTTCTCAGAACATTGAGCTTCCTGTATTTTCCGCTTCTAAGAATTAGATTGGTGTTCTACAAGGCTAATATTACTTTGAAGGGAGTCAGGACAGAGATATGATGCTGTCATTTTAAACTCTTGATTCCAGAGTTCATGCCGTTTGAATCCACTGCCTTGTCTTAAAAAGTTAAAGATGACATCCAAAGTAGGTTTGGGGGTGGGGGGGGTGGTGTGGAGGATGGGGAGAGAAAGATAAATTCTAGAAAAGGACCCATAGTCAATTTCTAGAACTGGGAAGAAAACTGAAAACACAAACTGCATACTCAAAGATTTATTAGGTAAAAAGACCCCTGAAAGAATAAAAAGTATCAGTAATTCTGTCAACTAGTCTGGATACTAGATCGTCTGTATTTTTATATTTTCCTTTAAATTCCAAGACTTTAACAGAAGAGAAACTTAATCTTATGAATATTTATTTTATTTTGAGAGACTGGATGCCTCCTTAAATGTTAACTTGTATCATTTTGTGAATATGTCGTAACAGCCTCAAAATGTCACTAGGAACTGACCCCGTTAGTTTCTTGTGTAGAAAAGCACAGAAATTGTGTGGTTTTGCCCCTCTGGGCTCTGGAGTCAAATTGTAATGAAAAGGTAGCTTTCTGGCAAAATTTAATTTTATGCAGTTTATGATTTACATTGTCATGTATTTTTTCTTCATCATTATATGTACTATGAATGTGGTGCCATCCTGTAATTTAGTTTTCTGTAATGTGGGTGAACTATTGGAGGTAGACAAATGTGAGTGCAAATGCATTTTTATTAAACGTGAAAAAGAAAAACCCTACACATCACATAATGCATTGTCTAAATACGCTTTTTTTTAATTCTTGTTTTTTTTTATTGAAGTGTAGTCAATTTACAATGTTAGTTTCCGGTGCACAGCAAAGTGATTCAGTTATACATACATATGTATTTTTTTTCAGTTTCTTTTCCATTATAGCTAATTACAAAAAATTGAATATAGTTCCCCGTACTGTACAGTAAGTCCTTGTTGTTTCTCTCTAAATACAATTTTTAAGACCAGCCCTACAAATGGAGGCTGGTCATGTTGAATCTTCCTTCTGCCTGAGCCGGCCCTAATTGTGGTGGTTGTTGGGTGTCTTGAAACTAAAAGAGTGGCTCATGGTTGGGTAATGGTTCTGTCATATTCACCACCTGTGAGCAGCTAGTAAAATCAAAATCAGAGCCACCGTTCAACTACCGAGAAACATATGCAGATATGTGAAGTACAGGACTGTGTCCTGGGGTTTCAGAGAGGAGCTGGGTATGGTGCCTCCTCTCTGAAAGCTCATGACTGAGTGGGGAGTGTTGATAAGTGAACATTTATGGGACAGTGGGGCAGGTGCAAAATGGACGTGTAGCAGCTATTATTGGAACAGATTGATGGGGATAGCCAGAAAGTATCGGCCAGAAACCTCAAAAAGTCAGATATGATGTGTACGTGATGTGTGTGTGTGTGCGCATGCATGTGCGTGCTGACTGTGAAGTAACTGCTGGTCTCCCTTATTACCTGTGTAAACTGGGCAGGTTACTTCAAACTCTCAGACTCAGTGTCTTCACCTTGAAATGGTGATAATTTTCTAGTCATGTTACCTGAATTAAATTAAGCTAACATATGAGGTGCCAGTATGGCCCCTTATTTGATTAATGTTTAAAATTCAGAGAACAAAACAACCAGTAGAGAACATGGTAGACAGATGTACTCTGGTTTTTTTGAAGTGTAGTCAGTTACAGTGTGTCAGTTTCTGGTGCACAGCGTCATGTCCCAGTCATGCTTATGTACACATGTATTTGCTTTCATATTCTTTTTCATTAAAGGTTATTACAGGATGTTGAATATAGTTCCCTGTGCTATACAGAAGAAATTTGTTTTTTATCTGTTTTTTTCTATCGTAGTTAATGTTTGTAAATCACAAACTCCCAGATTTATCCCTTTCCACCCCCTTTCCCCTGGGAACCGTAAGACTGTTTATTATGTCTGAGTCTATTTCTGCTTTGTAGATGAGTTCATTAGTGTCCTCCTCTTCTTTCTTTTTTTAGATTCCACATATGAGTGATACCATGACAAGTAATACTCTTATTGCATAGCTAATATTGTTGCCCAAAATACTTGGAATTCCCATTTTTAAATTTGCTTTTATAGTTTTTAGGAAAACTTACCCTACTTAAAAACCATATAGTTAATCCCCCCCTTTTTTTAACCCAAAGTAGTTTAGCTTGATCCACTTGCCAGATGTAGTTCTCAGTGACAGTTATCTCTTCCCATAAATCATGTCCATTCTCAACATTTGCTACAATTAAGCATATTTGACAAAAATGTGCCACAGGGTTTTCAAGGGTTTAGCTGGGATGACATCATTGGGCCAGGTCTCCATCCATGATGACAGCTTTCCGGAAAGCTGGAGTAAGACTTATTGGATACAGACGCTTTGGAGCGTGTTATAAAATCAGTCTTTGTGTCATTGTAATCCCAATACTGGGGTTATATGCACCAGCTGGAATTTTGTTCCTAGATTGTACCAATGTTTTTGTTGTTTTAAAAGGTGTTTAAAGTAACTTCCTGTCATAGAACCAAACTGAACAGTCTGCATTTTCTAATGTAGTGGGAAAAATTGACACAGTGGTTTAATACTGTTTTTGCTTATGGTTGACTAGTTTCTTCCTAAATTAGCAAGTCTTTAAAATATGGGTCTAGTCCTAGACCATATGATAAATCAGGCTGGGTAAACTTTTCTCTTGAAACAGATAATTTTTCTTATCTCCAACAACAAGGTTGTTTAGCCTTGTTGTAGAAGTCCAGTAATTCATAGCATGATTAGACTTGTCTGTTCTATTGTGATTTTTGTCTATTATAAGGGTTGTATTTGGGATAATTAAAAAAAATCAGTATTGGGATACCAGCTCAGAATTTTGATTAAAATCAAAATATATGCCTCATCTAAAACATCACTAGTAAAGTTCATTATTTGTAATTAAGGGATTTGACTAAGTTTTGTATTTTATGGCTGGTGTTAATTTGTATAGACATTACATTCATAATAGGTAGGAAAACTGTATTTCCTTAGAAAGGGAGACTTGGTGCATTAATATTCCAAAGCTTAGTTTCAGCCGGCTGTGGTCGGAAAAGTGGCTTTCACTCGTGTTCTCTGGAAGACTCCCAGCCGGAGTCCTGGGGGCTTGTTCACAGCACTTGGGATCCTGGCATGAATGTCTTATGAGCAGAGGTGTTTGCAGGAATCCCTACAGATGATGTG